CCTTTTCTAAAGCCCAATTTAACATGAGATAGTCAACACAGTCCTCTCCTGCAAGCTTCCACAGGCAGAACATCTTAGCGGATCCAGTTCCTCTGGCAGTCCCTGTAGCACTCCATGGAGAACATGCACAGCAGCCCCTGGACCACCCTCTACTAACCCGGGGAAGTCTCTAAAAGAAACTCAGGCACTATATGTGATATGACAGGTGGGGAATATCCTGGAAATCCTAGGTTCTATAAATATAAAGATAGAAATATAAAGATATAGGAGTTTAGATAGAAATATAAAGATACAGGAGTGAGAGTGATGAGCAGGGGGCGGGGGGGGGGGGGCAGAAACCCATCTCTCCAAGGAACCTGGTCCCTGCTCCGTGTTATGTCTAGTCCAGCTGAGCAGGACACACAGAGCGGGGCTAAGCCCTGTCCCGCAGCCGGGTCTTCACTGGAGAAAAGAGTGCGCCTGGGCAGGAGAATAACAGGACCCGCTGCTCCTCCGCCCCACCCGGCGCACCACTCTTTTGGCCACTTGACGAGTCACTACCTCTGCTGAGCGTGGGCCTAGGACGACCAACACGTGTTGCCAGGAGACCTGAAAGCAGGGCCGGGATGCGCGCGACGTCTCCTCGGAGCTGCGGGGTGGAGCACAAGGCACATGGGTGGCTTGGGTATATGGGCCCCTCTCCCAGCCCTTGCCGCAGTTGGGATGCGCCTCCAACTCGTGCCCCGGTGCCTGTCGCCCCGCCCACAACTAGGGGGGCGGAAAAACAAAAACATTTTCCCTAGTGTGGTGTACGTGGAGCTCCAACCCCTCTCACGCCTCGGGGAACCCGAGACTGACCACTGATCAGTGGGTGCAGGGAAATCAGGGGGCACCCTGGGCTGCACGTGCTCGCGCCCTGACGCACAGGACCTGGCTAGACCACGACTGGAACCTGTTGCCGCCTTTGGCCCTGGGGGACCTAGAACAGTTGGGAAAGAAGCAGGGAACAGCTGGAGTGGGCAGGGCTGGAAACAGAGGAAACAGAGTTAACCCGGCCTTTTCTTCCTAATTGCTCCCGGGCTCCCTCGGCAAAGTCTCCTGGCGCGACCTGCCCAGTCAAACTCTGGGTCTCCAACACGCCATGAGCAGAGCAGGGCGCTTGCGTCTCCGCTTGCGCTCCCAGCCCACCCACAAATGGACACACGTCCTCTCCAGTGATCTTGGGGCCTCAAAAATCAGACACCGCTGGGGAGTGGGGAGTGGCAGCGGGCAGTGGGGAGTGAGAAGGCGTGGGGCTGGGCGAAAGAGGTGAGAGCACGGCTCTCCGGAGTTTTCCGCCACCTTCTGTTGGACCCGGAGCTCACGTCGGAGTGTGGCACTAGGGGTGTGGCTCTCCTTACGCCCCGGCGCACTCGGCGCAAGCGGGACTTCCCCTTAGGAAACGCAAAGTCAAGGTCGAAGGAAAGACCTTGCAGACTCCAGCGGTCGTTTCCAGCCGCGCTCAGGAAACACGCTAAGGGAAAATGGCTTGAAATGACAGCTTCGCCATCCTACACGGTTATGTGTGACATCCAATTTGGTGTTTTTAGTAAAAGTAAAAAGTAAAAAATGAAAATCGGGTGCTGTGTGTTTCTTTTATTATTAAGAACGAATTACTTTCAAAAACGACGGCCCTGTTTGGAATTCAGATCTCGGTTTCCCAGTAAAATCAGCTGTGGGAAACGGAAACCCAGAACATGCTGCTATGGGCAACGTGCTCTTTCTGCTTTGAGTGCTGTCAGAGGCGGGAGCTAAGCAGATCCTTTCCCCAAGACGCTTGCGACCCGGTGCGCTTCTTAGTAGTGGCTGAGACCTACGGGGAGAAAGGGAAGACTGCACCCCAACCCCATCCGTGCTCTGAAACTGAAAATCTGAGGCAAGCGCCGGCTCGAGGGATGCCCGGGAAGCTTGGGTTGCAGAGAAATTCCCAGGTGCGCCCAGGAAGCGACAATTCCCGTTCCTGGAGAGCGGGGACAGGTTGGGGGCCAAAAAAAAAAAAAGCCTTAAAAATCCTTTCAGAGAAGGATGTCTTAGACATCCATAACTTTGTTCAATTGTTAAAATAATCCTGAAAAAAAGTTTTTAAATCCGTAGGACTAGATACCCTCATTTTCCCTCTCACCATGATAAACCTCCCTCCTTCATTTTTGGGGTGGCTTCCTGCACACAGGACCTCCAGATCATCTTCTCTCACTGAGAGAGGAGAGACGCGTCCGGGAGACCCCCCAGCCCTTACTCTCGGCAGCCACCTCCGCGCTGCCGCGCTGCGGATAGAAAGGGAAGCGGACACGCGTGCGGTGCCAGGCAGGACGCCGGAGGCGCGGAGACGCGCCAGGCGCGCGGCGTCTACAAGTGCTCT